TTTTCCGCTCTCTCTCTCTCTCTCTCTCTCTCCTTTATAGTCCACACCCTCCCCTTCATATGTGGCTCCTTTCCTTGGGTGTGATGACCGACAAATCTGACGTCAACTGATTAGTAGCGTGAGCTAGGCCTTCAAATTTTAATTTTTAAACATTCCAAAAAAAAAATACATGCATACCACAAATTTTTTTAATCTGCTAATCAAACACTAAAACATTAATATTTACATCTACAATAACTTGGTGGCATATATTTATGTATAAAAAGATGTATTTATTTCTAAAAAGCAAAGAATATTAATATATTTGTATGTGATACTACAAATTTAAGTGAGATGCATACAATATGAAAGTTGGGGCTCACATACAAAAATATATAAAATTTGTGTATTCGATACGTAAAAACCCTAAAAATTTAAACTTCAGAACTCGCACAATTTTAAAAATTTATAATAATAATAATGATAATAATAATTGTAATAATATATAGACCAATAAACCATAAGCCGACTTTAATAAATGAATGAATTTGTAAAATAAACTCACCCCTTCAATTAAATAAATAAATAAAAAGGACTCTCACAACTCACCCCTTCAAAAGAATGAAATATTACGTTCAAACATGATAAAGCGGATAGGTGCTAATTTGATGGTATTGTTAACACGAAATATTTCGTCCTTCGAAAGCTTCATAACACCATTATTTTAACTTTTAAAATGTGAAACACAAATTTTCATGCTATATTTGAATTAAACTATAACACCAAAATGATAGATAAACAAAGATCAAAATTTAGGAGTTACATAAATACAAAGGTAAATAAATTCTGTTTCTCCAAAATAAAAGAGGCCAAATCAGGGCAAAGGGAGGGGGGTTCTCCAGCGCTGAAACTCAACCAAATCCCCGTTAACAAATGACTGATTATGCAGCCAAAATGTTTCTGCAGACTGATGGAATCTCCTCACCTTTCTCTGCAACTCCCATAAGATTCCCAGAATTGCAGAGCAGGCCTCTGATTCTGAAACATAAACCCACAGGCACCTCACTTCTCTGCCCCGAGCTATCATGCTTTCAATCGCCCCATCTGAGCCACCAAACAAGAAAAAAAACAAAGATTTACATATATACCTCTTAATTCCTATGCATTTACACATATCTAACACCTAAACTATAGTATTTTTACATATATACCACGAAAAAGTGTAATTCCCTTTTTAAAAGCTAAAACAGTGGCATTTTTAATGTGATGTGAAAGATTTGGGTGATATTAAAGTAAAAAAAGTATAGTTTAGGTGTTATATACATAAATACATAGGAATTGGGTGGTATGTATGAGTTTACATACAAACTATACAATTCCTATGTGTTTGCATTTCCAACACTTCAAATTTATTATTTACATTTATAACACTTTGATATCATACGAGGTATATTTCGCTTTTAAAAAAGTGTTATGTAAATAAATATGAAAGTTTAGGTGTCAGATATGTGAATATATAAGAATTGTGTGGTATGTATGTAAATGCCCCAAAAAGAAAACAGAAAATGATAAAAACTTCATAAACAAATTAAAAATTCAGGAAAAAGAAGCAGAATATTGACCAACCGGGTATGGATTCCAGGTATTCCAGCAGCTGGGGTCCAATTTGTGTTGATGGCCATTTGATGGAGATCAGAGTATAATCAATCACATTCTGGAATGGAAGTTCTACCTGATCTGATAGGATAACAGGAACACATTCCTGCCGAAACAAACCACAGTACATTAAAGTTTCTCACAAGATTATGATTTATGCATGCAGCACGTTGTAGTAAATGTCTGGGAGATCCATTTTCTCCACTCAAGGAAGCACCCATTTCTCCTCTCAAGGCGGCATTTGGGACAACTTCTGTTTTTTATTTTTATTTTGTTTTGTTTATATTTTGATTTCAAATAAAATATATTTGGTTATTAAAATAAGGCTATTTTTAAAAACACTCCGAACATCTAAAGATTGTTTTGACTGTTTTTCAAAATATTTTAATTTATTTTTAAAAACAAAAAATATAAACATGCAAAAAAGAGAAAACAAAACCAGCACATTATTTTAAAAAAGAAAAAAAAAACAAAAACAAAATTGATCCCAAGAAAACCCGCATTTATTTTTTCCATCTATTTTTAAAAACAGATTTGTTTAGTATATTTTTTATATATTTTATTTTTTGTTTCTAACAAATAAATTCTGTTCTTTAAAAAAATCAAAACAACATACAGGTGTTTTCGAGTAGTTTTAAAAACAATCATACCTGATCAAATAGACAAACATGTTTATGTTTTTTAGACCGCTTCTATTTTTTTTTCCATTTTTTATATTTATTTTGTTATGTTTATGTTTGATTTGAAACAAAATATGTTTGCTATGTTTGGTTAGATATAATTATTTTTCAAAAGATTCAAAACACCTAAATGTTATTTTGAGTGTTTTCAAAGACATGTTAATAATTTTTTTACAAATAAAAAATAAAAATACATGAAAAACACATCAAACAAACATGTTTTTAAAAATAAAATTGATCCCAAACAAGCCCATACCACACTATTCTTTTGTATTTAGATATCAAGCACCTTATGCTTGAAATTGATATAACAGTTCAATGTCAAAAACATGCAAAAATCTATACATAAAAATGTATATTTCACTTTAAAGTTATTGATAGCAATATTTTTTGATGTGCATTAAATATTTGAATGTTATTTATGTAAAAATGAAAGTTTAGGTAATAAACTTGTTAATACATAAGAATTGTCTGTAGGAATGTAAATCCTCCGAAATAAATTGAGTGATTCATTGATGATGAGTAGAGAAGGTTAGACCGATATTAAAGATTTGAATGTTATGTACGTAAAAATTGAAATTTAGATGTTAGATAAGTAAATACATTGAGATATGCGTGGCATGCATGCAAATCCCGCTAAAAATAATGATCAGCTACTGAGTTAATTACGAGATTAGAGTTGAAGGATATATAAGTTGAACATGCAATAGCTTTAGTGCAGGAAATTTCCACTTGATAATTGCTCGTTTTGGACAACAAATGCTTTATGCAAATCATTTAAGTTTATTGAATTGTGACGGCAAGTTATAAGAATTCAGGAGAGACAACAATGTGTAATTACTGATTAACCATAACAGCATAGAACTAAAGCAAATGATAGGCTCCATCAATCAGTGCTAATTTTAGTTTTGATTACGTCTTAATTGTTCAAATAACATATTCAAAATATACTTCATGAAAAATTTGAAAATTAAACAATTATAAATGAAACAAATTTGTAGTTCTGAATTTCAAAATATGCTCATGAGTTCCAATCATATTGAAATGTGCAGTGCGATCATATGATGCCCATAATATGAAAGGAATAAATTTTCTAATTATTTTTATCATATTGTAAGATTTAAAATTAAAATAATTATATGTATATATATGTATATATGTATATATGTATATATGTATATATATATATATGTATATATGTATATATATATATATGTATATATGTACATATATATATGTATATATGTATATGTATATATGTATATAT